TTCTTTTAAATTTTCAAAAAGATCTTCAACTTTTCTCTTGGAAATATTTGAGATGAACTCCCCCTCCCCCCAAAACTTACAAAAATAGTACAAAAGAACTTCCTTCTACCCTTCACCTCACTTCCCCAACTGTTAGCATCTTGTCTAACCACAGTACAGCGCTCCCAACCAGGGCGTTGGCGAGGGCGCGGCTCTGCTATGGAATCTGCAGGCGTCAGTGAAATATTTTTAAAAATTCTTCATTGGTGAAAGTATTACATAGCCCCCTTCCCCCCATTGACCCCTCTAGCCCCCCCCCCCACTTCAGCACACTGTGTCCATGGGCTGTGCATGGATGCACGCATGTTCTTTGGTTGTCAGTGGTCCCACGGCCGTCTCTTCCTCCCCAGGATCCAGCCCAGGGCTGCACGTTGCACTCAGTTGCCACGTCACCGTGTCCTCCTTAAATCCGGGCCAGCGTCTCAGTCTTTCTCTGTCTTGCACCGTCTGCGCCCTTTTGAAGAATGCTCGAGGGCTGTTTTCTCTCTGCCCGTCTCACCATTCGGGTTCGCCCGATGTGTTCTCATGCCTGAACACAGCGGTGCGTTTTTGGCAAGCACACCACAGACATGAAGCTGCGCCCTCTGTCTGTCTGTCCGTCTTATCGCTGGTGACGCTGACCTCATCACTGGGTCAGGGTGGAGTCGGCCAGGTCTCTCCATGGCAAAGTGACTCCTTTCCTTTGTCTGTAGTAAGGACCGTATGTGGGACGTTTGTAAATACCTTGTTTCTCACCGCTCTTTCACACGTTCATTTTAGCATTCACTGATGATCCCTGCCCGAAACAATGACTACTGTGCGATTTGCCAAGTGGTGATTTTTCTATTCTCATCCTTCCCTCTGCATCTACTAACTGGAATTCTACTGCAAGGAAGAGCTTTCTCTTCTTCCTCATTTGTCGATTCAGTTATTTATTTGCTCTTGGTATGGACTCATGGATATTTATTTTGCCCCATGGCTTATAACCCATTCGTTCGTGTCCCTGGCGGCCCTAACAAGGTACCAGAGACGGGGGGTGGGGGGTTGGGGGGAGGAAGGGGGGAAGGGGGGAAAGGGAGGACTTACACAACAGAAATTTACTTCTTCACGATTCTGGAGGCTGGATGTCGGAGGTCAAGGTGTCAGCAGGGTGGTTTCCTGAGGCCTCACTCCTGGGCTTGCAGGCAGCCGCCTTCTCCCCGTGTCCTCCCTGGGTCTTCCCTCTGTGCGCCTGTGTCCAATCTCCTCTTTTTATAGGGACGCCAGTCGTATTGGATTAGTGCCCACCTGATGACCTCATTTTCACTTAATCATCTCTTTAAAGACTCTGTCTCAGATCGTCATAGTCTAATGCACTGGGGGTCAGGACTTCCACACATAAATCCGGGCGGTGTGACTCAGCGTGTGACAACCTGTGGCTGTCGGTACCATTCTGCTGCTCACCGCTGGGAACTGCCCTCGAGGCTCCCTGTCCTTCCTCCACGCCCCATGCGGCTCCCTGTCCTTCCTCCACGCCCCACGCGGCTCCCTGTCCTTCCTCCACACCCCACGCGGCTCCCTGTCCTTTCTCCACGCCCCTCGCGGCTCCCTGTCCTTCCTCCACGCCCCTCGCGGCTCCCTGTCCTTCCTCCACACCCCACGCGGCTCCCTGTCCTTCCTCCACGCCCCATGAATTCCCGAGCACTTCTCACTTTCCAGTGCCACAGAAGGTGCCAGGCACGCCTTGTCCTTTTCCTGAAATGATGTGCTTCTCCCAGGGGCCCTCACTCCTTTCACTGGGGAATCGATGGTGAGCACCCCCAGGGTGACTGTTTCAGGCTGGATTCCGAGACCCTCTGCTCGGGCCCAGGCTCGGATCTGAGTCCCGTTTTCAGATGAGTGAGACTCCATAGTTAGTTCATTTCTCTCGGCAGTTTCCTTCCCTGTTAAATGGGGATCATCCCGCCTGCCTCCTAGGAGGGTTGTCAGGACGGAGTGGCACGCGACAGAAAGCGTTTAGCACAGCCCCTGGCTCACAGCCGACGTCTAGTGATACGGAGCTTTTAGCACCAGGCGAGCCCCAGCTGCAGCTAAACAGCGCGTCACACGGTGCCATCGGGGGCTGGGACCCTGCCGGGCTCCCAAGGACGTCACAGTGACCTGCGCGGGTGACCTCCGCGTTCCGCTTGAGGAATGCTGTCTTGAGGTCACAGCTGGCATTTTCAGGGGAGCCCACGCGGCAGCCTTTCTCTGGGCTCCCGTGTACCAGGGTCCCCAGCACGCCAGCTCCCGGGAGGGAGGAAGGGACACGGTCTCAGATTTAACTTCCCATCTCATAGTTTGGTTCCCAGCCGGGCCGGGCCATTTCTCGTGAAACTGGGAACTCTGTGTCTTGTTTCTTCCGCCTTTGGAAGACCAGCCTCCTACGGAGGCAGTGGAGCGTGGGGCAGGGGTCACGTGCCCAGGACTTGCGTTCCCAGCTGCTGGGGTCAGTGGGGTCACGGTGAGTGGGGAGGTCGTGGCTGTAAGATCACAGTGCACCCCGCTCGGCTGTTTATGATGCTGCTTAACGGCCTCTTTGTCTCTTTTGCAGAGAGCACGGATAACTTTGTCTCCAGTAAGTCCGCTCTACCTTTTGCTTTGAAGCTGATTTGTTCTGAGCCTTTGGGTAACTGT